TTTTGTTGGTGTGGCTGTCGGATTTGAGATCTAGAGGCAAGGAACGAGAGGCAAGGAAAGGGGCTGTAGAATGAAATGAATTGATTTGGGGCACACAGTGATCCCTAGACAGTTTTGTAGGTTATCACCAAACCGGTTTGGTCCATTTTCAGTTAAACCGATTTTTAAGGACTTTTCTTGCCACGTATTCAATTTTAAATTCCTGTAACAGTTCGGTGCAAATATCATGTTCCTGTAGCGTTTTTGTTTTATATATACTACCAAATATATAATTCTATACCAAAATATACAAATTATATCCGTTGTAGCCAATCCAAGCTGAGTCTGTTATGAATTTTGGATCGCAAGATAATGATAATAATGAAATAATCAAAAAGAAAATAAACACCAAAATTTAAGTGGAAACCCAATATGGGAAAAATCACGAGTAGTGGAAAAAAATCAACTTTAATCAATAATAATTGTGTTTACAATATCAAGATCTTAATGCTCTCAATTAAAATCTAATCTCTCTAACTCTTAAAATATTGTTGAATAAGGATTTGTGAAGATACAATGTGAAATATATATATATAAATAGGTCTTAAAATTTAAAAAAATGAAATTAAAAACACCTTCGAGCGCCTCAGCACCGAGCCCTCTGTTTTTTTTTTTTTTCTTTTTTCCGTTCCAAATTGTTTTCTCATCTCAAATTCACTTTCTAAGCCAAATTCTCAATTTTTGATGAAATTTGATCTTCAATAAATATGACTCTCAAAACCCAAACTCTTTAAACTTCTTTTATTCAACCAAACTCAAATAACATGGAATTTGGATACACCACAACAAATCTTCACCTTGAAACAAATTCTATCACAAAGAATTCAAAATACATCTCCAAGTAAACATCATTCATCATCTTCCAAACAAGCTCTAATGGACTAAATCAATGACAAACACCCATTAATTTCAAGCAATATTCAAACTTAGCAATGGGAAGTGGTTTTGTCTTCATATCAGTAGGATTATCCATGGTATCCACCTCGCTCACAACAATATCACCACGANAAATTTCGAGAAATATACATGTTTATTTATAGGTTAGCTGATTATTTATAGACAAGTTATGCTCTTTGTTATAATCAATCATCTCATCCTCATAGCCTCCTTACATGCCTCTTTTGTGGCCATGTATTCTACTTCTGTTGTAGATAAATCTACTGTATTTTGCAAAATAGTTTTCCAGATGATAGCACGGCCTTCAAGGGTAAACACATACCCTGTAAGTGATCTCATCTTATTAAGATCTCCTGCATAATCGGAATCTATATACACAATGACTCAATCTAAATTTCTACCAAAATGCAAACAAGCATTAGAAGAGCCTCTCAAGTATTTGAAGATCCACTGCACCGCTTTCCATTGTTCTTTGCCAGGATTTTCCATGTATCTGCTAACTATATTAATTGCATGTGCCAAATCAGGTCTTGTACAAACCATAGTATACATCAACGAACCAACTACACTAGAATAATGAACTCGAGACATGTAATCTATGTCTTCATATGACAGAAGACACAAGTTAGATGATAATTTGAAGTGGGCGGCCAAGAGAATACTGACAGCATTCGCATTCACCATATTGAATCTTTCAAATACCTTTCCAATGTACCCTTCTAACTCATATACAATCTTCCAGCTTTTCTATCCCTCAAGATTTTTCATACCAAAAATTTTCTTTGTTGCACTCAAATCTTTCATATCAAACTCCTTACTGAGTTGAAATTTCACTTTTGTAACCTCTACTTTATCTTTAGCTATTATGAGCATATCATTAACATATAATAACAAATATGTAGTTGATCCACTATCTTCATTTCTAAAGTATACACAACTATCATAATTACATCTGAAAAAATCATGAGTAGTCATGAATGAATCAAATCGCTTATACCACTGTCTCAGTGACTGCTTTAGTACATACAAAGACTTTTTCAACAAGCACACGTAGTCTTCCTTTCCAAAAACTATGAACTCCTCTACTTGTTGCATGTAAATTTTCTCCTCAAGTTCTTCATGTAAGAATGTAGTTTTGACATCCATCCATTCAATCTCCAAGTCATTCTTAACAACCACTCCAAGTAAAGCCCGGATGGAACTATGCTTCACAACTAGTGAGTACACATATGTAAAGTCAACACTTGGAATCTAACTGTAACCTTTTGTCACCAATCTAGTCTCGTATCTAGCATCTTCAAATGATTTCGTTAATAAGTCATTATAATTTCATTTTGAGGTAAGGCTACTCGTCCACCTCGTTTTAATGATTTTTCTATCAATACAACTAGGGTTGAGAGTGATGCCAAACCCCAAGACTAATTCTAATTATGAAGCATTAAAACTCGCGCTGAGGTAGGTTGTACTTTACCAAAAAAAATAATTAAATTTTTGCTTAACTAAGCAGGGTAAAATTGTTAATCCATATGTTTAATGGCATGAAAGATTGGATTTTAGTAGCATTTCACGTTCAGAGAGTTTGGAGTGTTACAACTTAAGTAGATATTGGGGGCGGGGCCCAATAGATACTAGTGTAGGCGTAGGCACAGGCCTGCACTAAACTTTGGGCACAACTCAAATCACTTTCGATTTTTTATTTTTTATTTTTTGGATTATTGGGCTTTTGAATCCAGTAGCCCAAGAGAAAACTCATCCATGCAGAGGCAATCCATCCAAACCACATATTTCACTCCTCTCATCTCTCCACCTCTCCACGACTTCCCTCGGCCCTCAGCTCTCACTCTCGTCTCTTGTCGCATTCCACCACTGACCACTAGTGCCACTCACTCTCGTCCCTCGCCTCCCAGGACCCAAATCAAAATATTTCTATAAGGACTTGTTTTCNCGCCTCCCAGGACCCAAATCAAAATATTTCTATAAGGACTTGTTTTCTTTTCTTTTTATTTATTATTTTTATTTTTTGTTGATGGCATATGTTTTCTGATTTTATGTTTATATGGGTTGGTCAGAGATTGTTAATTGAAATATTTAGATCAAAATGATATAAACTTTGATTTATTCGAGTTAAATTTCCCTGTTTTAAGTACGATTTTCATCCGTGAAGAGAATTGTGTGAGAATTGACGTGGTGGCAGTGGACTCTATTAATGAAATGGGATTCGCAGCATTAAGGTTTTGTCATCAGTTTGAACATGGACTCCTCCACCTCCGATAACTGATTGGTTGAGATGAGAAAATGATAACCACGAACATGTTTTATTAGCTAATATAAAGAAATCCCAACTACCATTTTTCACTCTGAAATATCAAAAATTTTAGAATATTGTAGCATGAGAAATTAAGCATTTTCCGTGAGATGCCGTGTATTCGGGTATTCAATGAATCTATAGTGACTCAATTTTTTTTAATGTTTTAATCCAGATATCAAATGAAGACATTCCTTCAAGGAAAATCGATTGTATAAAATGTTGATGGGGGGATATCGAATAAAGTGGATTTTGATATTCCACAATTTTTTACTAATCTTGGATTAAGGAACCAATTTTGGATTATAATACTAACACCCGAGATCAATTTTAGTATTGTCGTAATATTGTTTTATATTTTTATCATCATTAATTCTATAGCCAAAAACTCAAAATTCGACGCTGATCATTAAATTGTGCTTGTACTGAACAATATTCCTAACTCCGTCCCTGAGTAGGTAGACTCCCTTAATACAGGAAAAAATATATATATATTTTACTTCGTACATTGCTAATAAACTAATTTGATTAATTTCTAAAAATATTTCTTTTAAGAAATGAGAAAAGAAAAAGAGAGAGAAATATATTTTAAATAAATTTTAGTAATAATTTTTCAGGTAATATAAATTTGGAAGGATAAAAGGCAAAAATTAAAAAAAAAAAAAAGAGTGTAAAGGGAGAATCTGCTGAGAAAAACAAACATCATGGGATATTTCTATTATTTCTGAAAATACAGGGAACATTTCTAGTACTTATATTTAATTGAGGAGGTGTAAATGACATTGTCTTGTAAATCAAACTCATAATTTTAACTATTTATAGTAGAAACAAAGTGCCACTTTTTTCTGCGCCCGTTTGGTCCTCATTAATCCACATTTTAATTAGATGAATAATAATTTTTTGGAAAATGTATGGTGAAAAAAAGGAAAAGTTTTTTGGTTTTCGTATAATATTATTTTATTGGAAAATGTGTGGTTAATAAGAAGAGCGAAAAAAAATTATAATTTAATGGGGGCTCTTGTACGTATTGTAAAGTGAAAGCAAAAATAATTGAAAGTAATTATTATAACATTAAGAAGATCATTTCACTAGAATAAAGAAATTTCCAAACATTGGGTGACCTGAGATATGTTTATATCATTAATGACTTATTATTTCGATAAATTATTCTTTAAGAAGATTAGGAGATTAACGTAATAATTATTTAAAAATTTCTCCTCGTTACATATTTATTCGATACTATAAATGGGACCAAATATAAAATCGCAAGCAGAATAACATTTTTCTCTGAGAGAATGTTTTAATTGTTCGAGAGCAACCAGAAAAAGGTTCTTCTTTAACCATAAAAAAATTCATAACCGAGATTTTTGAAACCCAATCATAGACCATAGAATCATCAAAGATTGACCTTAGGCTCAACATTGGCTCATTAAAAAGGCTATATTGCTTTGTCAAGTGTTGAAGATCATAGGAATTATAATTTGTGAAGGAATTGAACCCATCATCATCATCTGAAATGCATATGTATAGAAAAATTTCAAGCTTAAAATGAGAGTGAATTTGAATTCAATCAACCAATGATAAGCCTTCTTATGCTTGGAATGAGAGTCAAGTAACATAAGACTTACAAGTATAAACATTAAATAAAACTATTAAAAAACTTACAAATTATTGCTACAAATAGATGTCACAACACAACAATCTCTCATCAATCTTTGAAACAAAGCATTTTGAAGTATACCATTTTGATAACACTGAAATGGCTACACTCCAAAATTATGTAAAGTATCCATATTTTCCTCCTACACAACCTCATAATTTGCCATGCCCACCGATAGTACCACCGCCATCTCCTCCGAAAGTTGCACCACCACCACCCCACCACGTCTCTCCTCCGCCACCTCCACCACATATTGTTCCCCCTCCACCCCATCCGGTCATTCCACCACCACCACCCCACCCCGTCTCTCCACCGCCGCCACCACCACATATTGTTCCCCCTCCACCCCATCCGGTCTTTCCACCACCACCACATATTGTTCCATCTCCACCCCATCCCTACTCTCCACCACCCCCACCACCCACTCCAGGACACCATACTGTCATCATCTTCGTTTTCGTCTCACTTGGTGGATTATTCTTCCTTGCATTTCTCTCAGTTGCCCTTTTCTGCTTCCTTAAAAAGAGAAAGAGGAGAATCATTCAGGAAACAGATAAAGTGAGAATTGACGAACATGTAAGAGTCCATGAAGATATTGTTCCTGGTCCACATGGAACAAAAAATGTTATCCTTACCATTGACGACGATGTGGACATCGAAGAAGAAATCAAGAAGAACGAGGTAGTCGGGAAAAGTTCAAACATGAAATCAGCTGGAAAACCATCCTCAAGCTCTAGACGTGGTAGCAACTACATCTGATCACACTCATAATCATCAGTAACAAAGAATTATTTGAATCATGAACATCTATTGGAAAAACAGCAACAATGTATTTTCATTATCTTGTTTGTAATAATAATAAGTTTCCAGGGTATGAGGTGTGATAACTCGATGTTATACAAATAATCTGAAAAATGTTAAACTGCAAGTGTTTTGAGTACGTACAACTCAAAGGTGGACAGTACTTGATGATCTAGATCTTCAAATTCTTTGCTTTTTTCATTTTGCATTCAATCAAAGCGTGCCTCTTTCTCCCGTTTTTAATTTATAGGATTGTAAAGCGCAACTCAAGCGTCACCAGAATAAACATCCTCAAACAGTCACACTGCAATTCACATGAATGGAGCAAGAACCAATGAAAATGATCCTCCATAAAAATCATAAACTAGAATTAGGAAAATTATGAATATAAACATGGATAACGAAAACATAAAAAGAAAAATGAACAACTCCATATTCTATCTCACTTAAAAAATCATATTTTTAGTGTCTTTTGTAATTTTAAGTGAAAAAAAGGTGTCTTTTTTGACCCCCTAATTTTAGTGTGTTTGTAATTTCTCCATGTTTTTTCTTCAAATGTCAAGAAATTAGTCGCCTTCAATGAACAAAATAATAAATTTCAGCAAAGATATGGAAATTAAGGGCCCATTGATAAGTGAATTTTGTTTGATAATTTAATAGTAGCTAGTCAAATATTGATAATTTAATAGAAGCTCGAGTTTGACATATAGGAATGTTCTTACAATTCTCTGTTGTCCAGAAGAATTTAATATTGTTTATGTTGGAAAAATGATGCCATTATTGTCATTAATTTTCTAACATTTGGGGCAATGATGAAACCGTTGGGCTTGGCCCAGATTGTTGGAAAAGATTAAATAACCATTGCGCAATAACGCAATTAGTCTCAGGCCCAAAACCCAAACCCAATGAATAAATTTAAGTTAGTTGCTCTGGCCCGGTTGATTAGTGGGCTGATTTGTTGGCTTTCTTGTTGGGCTTTTATATATATATACAGAAATGATCTAATGAGCACCGGTGCTCATCTTATCCTAAACACCAATGAGTTGGCACATTAATTCATTGGTGGATACTAGCTTAATCTTTCCTGTTGGTAGATCACATTCATTAGCTCTTACTTGGTGCGTGAAAAAGCTTCTGGGGAGTTCTGTGCTTCGTACTTCTACTCATTTCTTCCTTCTTGTGTTTTGTTCTTTGTGAAGCGATTAAAACACTTGGTTTTAATCAATTATTCTTAGTGAATATTATCTTTGTGATACTGTCTTAGTGATAGAAAGGGATTTTCCAGTTGTAGATCGATTTGTTCGATCAGGTCCATTTTAGTAGCTTCTTGGTTTATTGCCTTAGGGTTTGGGTATTTTGAGGCCAATTCTCTATTGTACAGATGAGTACAATGATTTGTTTCTGAGCTCATTGTAACATTCGATTCTTCTTTGTGTTAATCTGAATTTGGTATTCTTGGTGAATGCTAGACTGCTTCCGCGTGTTCTTGAGGCTCATATCCTTACAGTTTACTAATGTGATTACTGAGTGGTCTAGCGTTGAATATTAAAATTTACTTCGAGTCGAGTTTCAGTCTATGAAAAGTTGGAAATGGTATGAAATAAATAAGAGCTACGGTTACTAGACTCGAGCTCTTTGTAGATAAAGGTTTTGAATCAATCTGAGTCGAATTGGACTTCCTATCAATTGTCAATCTTATGAATAAGCATAATTATGGACCTTGACAAGTTCGATATCATATGGTAATTTCCCAATGGATTGAGGAGTTGCAGATCCCAGTCACACATTGGAGGGAAGGTAATCAACTTGCAGATTGGTTGGCAAATTCTGGATATAGGGAGAAACAAATCAAAATGTTAATGAGAGGAGATTTACGCAGTGAAGCAAGAGGGATAGCCTTGTTTGATGTATTAGTAGGTAGATTCAATTTTTTATTTTTTCTAATGATTTTTCAATCAATACAACTAGGGTAGAGAGTAATGCCAAACCCCAAGACTAATTCTAATTCTGAAGCATTAAAACTCGAGCTGAGGTGGGTAGTACTTTACCAAAAAAATAATTAAATTTTTGTTTAACTAAGCAGGGTAAAATTGTTAATCTGTATATTTAATGGCATGAAAGATTGGATTTTAGTAACATTCCAGGTTCAGAAAGCTTGGAGCGTTACAATGTGAGATTAAGTGGATACTGGGGCGTGGCTCGCAAGATACCCGTGCAGGCACTGCACTAAACTTTGGGCGCAACTCAAATCACTTTCAATTGGACTTTTGAATTCAGTATCCCAAGAGAAAACTTATCCATGCTGAGGCAATCCATCCAAACCACATATTTTACTCTCCTCTCATCTCTCCACCTCTCCGCTACTCCGCTCGGCGCCTCAGCTCTCACTCTCGTCTCTCGTCGCATTCCACGACCGACCACTAGTGCCTCTCATGTCTCTCGCCTCCCGCCTCCCGGACCCAAATCAAAATATTTCTATGAGGACTCGTTTTCTTTTCTTTTTGTTCATTATTTTGAATTTTTGTTGATGGCATATGTTTTCTGATTTTATGTTTATATGGGTTGGTCAAAGATTATTAATGGAAATATTTAGGCCTTGTTTGATATCTTTCATTTTTCATAGAACTTGGAAATCATTTTCCATTTTTCATCTTTTACAGTGTTTGATAGGCAAAATTTTTCTTGAAATTTATTTTCCTCCCAATCCCCACGTGATCTTCTTTTCTTGGTTTTCATTGAATTTGTTTTCCCACCAATTTGAATTCAATCAAACAATGACAACCCTTCTTATGCTTGGAATGGGAGTCAAGTAACACAAGACTTACAAGTACAAACATTAAATAAAACTATTAAAAAACTTACAAATTATTACTACAAATAGATGTCACAACACAACAACCTCTCATCAATCTTTGAAACAAACCAGTTTTAAGTTTACCATTTTGATAACACTGAAATGGCTATACTCCAAAACTATGTAAACTATCCATATTTTCCTCCTAATTTTCCATGCCCACTGATAGTACCACCGCCATCTCCTCCTAAAGTTGCACCACCACCACCCTCTCCACCNCATATTGTTCCATCTCCACCGCCACCTCCACCACATATTGCTCCCCCTCCACCCCATCCGGTCTTTCCACCACCACCACCACCACATATTGTTCCATCTCCACCGCCACCTCCACCACATATTGCTCCCCCTCCACCCCATCCGGTCTTTCCACCACCACCACCACCACATATTGTTCCATCTCCACCGCCACCTCCACCACATATTGCTCCCCCTCCACCCCATCCGGTCTTTCCACCACCACCACCACCACATATTGTTCCATCTCCACCGCCACCTCCACCACATATTGCTCCCCCTCCACCCCATCCGGTCTTTCCACCACCACCACCACCACATATTGTTCCATCTCCACCGCCACCTCCACCACATATTGCTCCCCCTCCACCCCATCCGGTCTTTCCACCACCACCACCACCACATATTGTTCCATCTCCACCACCACCCCACCCCATCTCTCCACCGCCACCTCCACCACATATTGTTCCCCCTCCACCCCATCCGGTCTTTCCACCACCACCACCACATATTGTTCCATCTCCACCCCATCCCTTCTCTCCACCACCACCACCCACTCCAGGACACCATACTGTCATCATCTTCGTTTTCGTCTCACTTGGTGGATTATTCTTCCTTGCATTTCTCTCAGTTGCCCTTTTCTGCTTCCTTAAAAAGAGAAACAGGAGAATCATTCAGGAAACAGATAAAGTGAGAATTGAAGAACATGTAAGAGTCCATGAAGATATTGTTCCTGGTCCACATGGAACAAAAACTGTTATCCTTACCATTGACGACGAAGTGAACATCGAAGAAGAAATCAAGAAGAACGAGGTAGTCGGGAAAAGTTCATACATGAAATCAGCTGAAAACCCATCCTCAAGCTCTGGACATGGTAGCAACCACAACTGATCACACTCTTAATCATCAGTAACAAAGAAGTATTTGAATCATGAACATCTATTGGAAAAACAGCAACAATGTATTTTCATTATCTTGTTTGTAATAACAATAAGTTTCCAGGGAATGAGGTGTAATAACTCGAGTGTTTTGAGTACGTACAACTCAAAGGTGGACAGTACATGATGATCAAGATCTTCAATTTCTTTGCTTTTTTCATTTTACATTCAATCAAAAAGTGCCTCTTTCTCTTGTTTTTAATTTATAGGATTTTAAGGCCAATCTTTTCCTAAATTCTCTGATAAATTACTTTCCAGAATACAGAAGACGCAGCAATAAAAATCAAGATTTCATAGTATAAATGAAGGGAGATTTCAAACTGCAATACACAATTTCTATATTTTTGAGCTAATCAACCAAAGGATAGAGAGGAAATCGGCAAAGTTAGTATCGTAGTCATGAGGATTACTTTATACACTCGGCGCAACTCAAGCGTCACCAGAATAAACATCCTCAAACAGTCACACTGCAATTCACATGAATGGAGAAAGAACCAGTGAAAATGATCCTCCATAAAAATCATAAACTAGAATTAGGAAAGAGATGAATATAAACATAGATAACGAAAACATAAAAAGAAAAATGAACTATGATACCAACTTAAAAATTCAATTTGGATTTTGACAGGTCCTTCGAAAACCTATGATACCAACTTGAAAGTAAAGAATAGAAAAAAAAAAACCAATTTTTGTGTTTGTGTTTCATTTTAATAAAAATATTCCTATTTATAAGGTTATTATAATTTATAACTACGTGTATGGAATATTACACAATATAAGATTATTGAATAATATATATGAAGAGTTTATGAAAATTTGTGAACTTTTGACACTGTAAGAATTAATTATAATAAGTTAGAATATCAAAATTTAATCGAACATGTAACTATCTGAAAATTAAAGTATTTGTAAGTGTAAGGGTATATATTTAAGTGAAAAAAGTGGGTTTTTTGACCCCTAATTTTAGCCTGTTTTGTAATTTCTCCATGTTTTTTCTTCAAATATCAAGAAATTATTTGCCCTCACAGCATATATATGAAAATTAAGAATCTATTGATAAGTGCTTTTTGTCCACTTATTTGGGTCATATTACTAAATTTTTATGTCATCAAATTATTGAATTAAGTTTAACTTTTTGTTAATTTTATATCGTTTCAGTTATGGACTCGTTTTGAAGTAGTTAGAAAAGAAAGAAGAATTAATTGACTATTGGATGCAATGTTGAAGGATCAAAATCAAGAGAGTGAAGAAAATGACTAAATTGCATAATTGGGAAAAGTGAAGCCTTGGAGTGAAATATTACACTAAGTGGGCTTGGATCAAATTAAAAAGGAAACAAAATAATTGGGCTTTGCATGTTGGAAAATTATAAGTGGAAATTACACAATCCCCTACATTTGAAGATTCAATTTCTAAAATCAGATTTGATGTTTTAAGTTTCGAAAATCAGATATTTTAATGTATAGATACAAATTTTTTATATTTAATTAAATATTAATAAAAATATTATGAAATTTAAATTATATACACCCCACCCTTAACCTAAATCCCTAATTCTCACCTCTCTCTCTCTCTCACTAGTTCTCACCCGTCTCTCTTTCTCTACATTTTCAACCGGTCGCCGCCCTCTCTCTCTCACACCGCCACCACGCCGCCCGCCGTGCGAAGCAGATCTACGGCCACCTCTCGTCTGTGCAGACACCCACTGCGGCGAGAGGTTTAGGAAGTGGAGTTCCGGTTTCGAAACGTCGGATTGACGCGCCGACGGGGAAGATAACTAAGCGAAAGTCGCGTGCCTCTAAGCGGAGGATGTGTGCGGTGGGTAGGTGGTGGAGGATGTCTGGTTGTGGTTGCAGATCGGAGTCGAAGGTGAAGCAGTTTGGGCGATGGAGAAGTAGACCACCCATTCCGGCGACTCACGCGAAGCAGAAGCAGTTTGTGCGATTTTATGTTTTCGGGTGGTGTTTTGTGTGGTGGTGGACCGACCATTTTGTAGTGGTGGCTGTAGTGGTTGATATGGCGGTTGGGGTGGTTGCAGCGGTAAGGCAGATTTCTATGGAAATCGATGCTGTGTAATTTGTACCCACTGTCGTTTTGAGTGTGAATTTGATTTCCCCCATGCGAATTTGTGATTTTAATGGTGTTTGGGTGGTGGTGCGGTAGTTGGTGGTAGTTTGTAAATGGTGCCGGTTTGACGGTGAGGTGGTGCCGGCTTGCAGGCAACTGAGGCGACGGTTTAAAATTCGATTATTTGTGACTAAATATTAATCTGAGCCATGTGCAAAAATATTTTTGTAACCTGTGCGATCATTTGAAAATAACCCGTGATTATGAACAAAAACCTGAGTTGTGACCTAGGCTATGACCTGTGACCTGGATTGTGACCTCTAACCTCAGTCGTGACCTGGACTGTGACCTGTGACCTGAGTCGTGTAGAAGTTATACAGATTAAAAAGTGAGACAATAAAAAAAAGTGGCACACTCAAAAAGTGACAAAATAAAAAAAAAGTGACAAGTTCAAAAAAGTGACGAAAATGAAAAAAAAAGTGACAAAAATTACAAAAAAAAAAAGGTAACAAACAATTAAAAGTGACGAAATTTAAAAAAAAAGTGACAAAAATAAAATTCAGTGACATTTAACTCAATGCAGAAAGATGTGCATTGCCAATTGAAACATTCTACCATATAGCATTAGCTTCACATATACAATTTTAACTGATTCATACCCAATAATTAGCAGATTCAGTAGGTGAATGATATAGTTATCCATTCATTGAGACCATTCAGCCTAACAAGTGCCAATAGTATTACCAAAATGAATGAAAACAACAAATTTCTACAACAAATTAACGATGTCAATCATCACCGTCTCATCCGACGCAAAAATGAAAATCAGCTGCCAAGCTTTGGATTATCCGCTAGGAATCATATTTAAGGAACAATTGATGACAGCCATTTGCAACACCAAAGAGAAGTTCTCCATCAGCACCACCAACTCTGCATCCTTGACTGAAAAATGCCTCATTACCCTCTTCACGAAAGCACCCACCAAAACTCCTTCACTATCTCTAATCACATCTTCATGACAACCATTTGAAACACCAAAGAGAAGTCCTCCATCAGCGCCACCACCTCTGCATCCTTGACTAAAAAATGCCCCACCACCCTCTTCACGAAACCACCTAACAAAACTCCCTCACTATCTCTAATCATCACAATACCCCAATAACCCCCATCACCCACCCTCACAACAGCATCAGTGTTTGCTTTTTTCTGTTTTTTCTCGAAATCTTTCTTTGCATCCTCCTTTGGAAGTAAACCAGACTCCATCATCCTCCTTTGGGAATGAAAGTGTCTCGGAGTTTTCTCATTCACGGGCTTCCTCCTCCTAATTTGGGTTTTTTGTATTTTGAGGTTTGGAAGTAATTCTACAGCCCGCCGAAGGTGTTGACGGAAGGAAGGTGGCGCCGTGTCAATAGCTCAAAAAGGAGATAGTGAGAGGCTGATGGCCGTGCACTGCCTTCGTCCGTTCGGACCACCAATTAAAACAGTGAACTACCTTCGTCCGTTCGTGGTCTGTAGTATATTGGGAGATTTTGGATTTTTGTTTCGATTTAGAAAGTAATTAATACGGGGTTTATGTGATGTTTAATTAACTTAGGGTATTAATCAAATTGGGTTACTTTTTAGAGCATTGGACCTAATTTCCCCTTATATATACACGCATACGCAAACACATACGGGAGATAAGAATTTAGAGTGTGTTTGATTAGAATGGAAAATATCTCTTAGAAAATAAATTATTTTACTTATTTTGAGAAAAATAAAATATACTCCCCCAAAGAAAATGTTTTCATTTAAAATAAGGAAAACTAGAAAAAAAAAATAGCAATCAAACAGTCCAAAGTAAAAATTTGGATAAAAAATCGACATTTTTCATGAAAAATAAATGCAATCAAATACATCATGAGGAAGAAGGCACAGAAATTGGAGGAAAAAAACACATGCACACATAGCCAAGACTTGGACGAAAAGAGGCGGTTGGGAACTGAAGAGGGGAGAAATGTGTCAGAGACAGAAACGTAGCCAAGAAAAAAAATAGAATCATGCTATATGTACAACATTAATTGATAACATCCTATTTGATATCATCATATTCATCTATTTTTTAAAAAATTATTTTCCACATCACATGCTAGGATTTTGACAACACATGGTTGTCAACCAATATTATACACTTAGATTTATTCAAAAATATTTATACATGTGGAAGATAAGCAAGAGCGGCAAAAGACACGCGGAAGACGGAAGCATAATTGAAGAAAATAATTCCAATATCTCGTATAATAATTCATAACTGTGCAAGAAATTCGCGAATTAATCACGTTCCGTCAATTTCTCGGTGATGTCTTCTCAATTTTATTTGTTTAATTACGATATTATAAGTAGCTAAATAATTTTAGTGCTACGACTAAGATGAAACTTATATCATAAACCTTTGATTTTTGAATTTTATTTGTTTTTTATATTAAAGCATGTTTTCAATTTGTGAATGATTCACATGGATTTTCTACAATTATATGCACAATAATTGTATGAATATTGTGACTTGTTTTACTTTCGAAAGATTGAAAATAAGTTAGACATAGTGTTAATCATCGTAAAGCCCGATGAGGAATAAAAATATACCTCTATACTTTACGTGATCTTTAAGTATTCACAAATCCATTAATGCATTCTTGTATGTTTACATCCGTCATAGAAATATAGTCGGATCACATGTAAGGGCATATTTAATTCAACTCAAAAGAGATTGTTAAATAAATTAGGAATATTGATCTTCACAATTGAATTAAGTTGTCAAATTTATATCGGGATTAAAGGAGATTGACATAAGGGGATTCGAGATCCTAGTACACTTTTCATTATCATATTTTTATAAAATTTGCATTTAATTATAAGCTTGCATTTATTTTAGTTAAGTTAGATCTTGTATTCATAAGTAAATTATTAGGTCACAATTTAGTCATAAAAAAATCACCAATTTCTATTGTTTTGGTTAAGGCTAAGCTTATGTGAACTTGAAGTAGTACAATTTTTGTGAGGAATGATATTTGGATTCAAAATTTATATTGATATTTATTAACGAATAGTGCATTTGTAGTATTTTAAAAGAAGAATATTTTTGTGACACCCATTTGCAAAAGTCAAAGTAGAAGATTTATCATAAGTTGTCGTAAAATAGTTTCCTCATAAGAGAAGTAAAAGCAAACACAGAAGCATGTCAAATGAGCCTAAATCACTGTTAAAATTTTCATCCTCTCGTTTTCTATCAGTGATGACAAGACCTTATGCTTTGTAGTTCTTGAAAATTTTATCCTCTTCGTGTCACAATGCATGCCACTGAATCAGATTTTGCCCCAAACAATTAAGGAACAGGACAATTCAATCCCTCAACACCTCATTAAAAATCCCATAAGAATGGCTGCTTTTAATCTCTTCAATCTCTCGTTTCTTCTCAGTTTTCTCTCCAGCTCAAACCTCAGGTTGTGGCCTAGGAATCATGGTGAAAAGTTTGGGGTTTTCGCCCACGTCCAACCGTATTGAGTGCCCGAGCTACGTTGTGATTCATACTGGGAATGGCTTTGAAATTCGCCATTACAATTCCAGTACGTGGATATCTACCGCTCCTATTGATGATATTTCATTCGTCTAAGCCACCAGAACTGGCTTTTCCGGTAAGGATATGTTTATTCTGTTCATTAAAGATTTGGTTTCATTCGGTTTTTATGCCTTTTCATCTAGTTTGTGATCCAAATATTTGATTTGATCTCATTTTCATTCGATTACGATAAAAATTTTAGGTTAAGCTTATCAAGATAGTATTGTCTCGTAGATAATTCAGCTCGATCGGCATGTTTAAGGTTAATTTGTGAGATTAGTGCAACCAAAAGAAGCAAGAAAACAAAATGCATTACTTAAGAAGAACATGTATATTGGTTTACATGCACTAAAGAATTAATCTTGGGTATTTAGCTTTATCCAAACTTCCCGCTGATGGCATGTTTGATGCGCTAGATAGGAAATGACATGGCATGAATTTTATCTTGTGCATCTGTTCCTTAACTTCTAAAACTCCTATCGAATCTAGTGCACATGGTGTGAGTGCACAATTAGTAAGAAAAGTTGTCCCTTGCCTTCGTAGTTAAAATTTGCTAGGATTTTTCTATTTGTACAACATAGGATGACAATGTGGTGTGTTGGCAAAAAAACAGTTGACTGCAAAAACAATTTTTTATTTAAACTGTCTAATAACATAATGTCACGTGACATTCTATAAACAAAATTGTGCATCCATGTTGTACACCAAGCCTGATTCAATTTGCTAATGGACTTGTTAGATATGCCAAGTGAAAAAGTGTGAAAGCTCTTTTCCAATCATATAGTTATGGAAATGTCCATTTTCTTCTTATTGCTAAAATTCAACTCTAATGTGGTATTTAATCTATGAATAGCTAACATAAAGTACTTGCTGGTAAGTTTTAAGATCCATTTGGCACGGCTTTTGAAATGCTAAAAGATGCTTATGAGATTAAGAAGTTACTTTCAAACATGTTTGTATAATTTTCTGAAGCTGGTTTTTGAAAAAGCTGGTCTAAGGAAGAAGCTCTTCTACAAGAAGTAAAAGCAGAAGTCTGGACCTTAATGGATTTTCAATACTAGCTTGCTCATGATCTGATAACTCCTTTTGTGCAGTGTACAGAAATTCTTTAACTAGAATGAATTTTCATAATTGACATCAATCTTTTAAATCGGTTTGCCTTCATTGAACTTTAAAATCTGTGAGGTGTATTTCGTCTTGTTTGACACCTTTTTCTGGAATTTATCAGCATTATGAGGATGAAAAGATTAATATTTTGCAATAACTCACTTGGTGAAACGGCGTAAATCCATTTAATGACTTTTTGAAAGATGTGCTACCAAAATAAATTTTTTTTCACCTATGCAGGTTATTTGGCTATATCTAGGGCAAAAATATTCATCCTTCATAGTGAGTTTCTATGTTCCCAAAGAGAATCAACCTGATCCACCTTCTGCTAAAGGCCTTCATGTGCAAAAATGGGGACGGAAATATGTTGCTGTAAGGCAATTTTGGGGGATTTTTAAATGACGACGAAGTTGGCGAGGATGCTGCTGCCTTGTATGCAAGTGTTGCAGGAATCATTTGGTCGGATGCTATCGACAAGAGCAATTGAGTCGAGAATGCAACGGAATACATTGTTGCGCAATACAATTCTCCATTCGAGTTTCGGAACAGAGTGAATGAGATCTGGTTGGCATTCAACTTGGAAGATGGTTTTGCAATTTGAGGAGTAAATATACAATGCTAACAATGTGTCTTAAGAGAGTGAATTTTTCTGATATCATCATCTATATAATAATCGAGTACAAATGTTTTCATGGCTCAATTTAATTTTTACACTACCTTTTTTATCGATGACCAAATAGTCATCAATTTAAGTACTAGCGCTTTTTTCAAAAAACTCTACTAGTAAAAGCTCTATTTATAAAGTTCTACTCACGACAACCGCGGAAAACAGATCCACTCTACTGTCTAGGTGTTCTTTCCATAACCATTTGTATGTAGCTTTATAAGAACGTAAAGTAGATCCATTCAGATAGTTTCGAAAGTTCAGTGACTTAAAAAATATTTTAAAGTTCAATTACCATTTAGAAATACAAGGAAAAGTTTAGTGACCATATGTGAACATGATTTGTTTAGTTGGACAAAGTTAACGGTGTTAATATGCCACGTAAAATTTATGTTCACAACGTGAGCTACCTAATGTCACTTTAAGAGTTCAGTGACAATGGGAAAACAAATTGAAGTTCAATAACATTCTGTGACCAATGAAATGTACCATCTCCCTTGTTAATGACTATGCTCCTATGTATCATAGACTACAAGGTACAAAGAAATTGAAATTCCATTGCCCCTATTATTATATATTTTGAGACCAAATGCTGGATCCTTGAACTAAACTTGGCTTAGATGCCCTTTTGGAGCCCATCTAGAGAGAATGGGACTAGGCACTAGACTGACTGTGACATGGACTGAACAGTTTGGAAAGGTAGCCATGTTAGTGTGGCCGGCCTACTAGGGCCTTTTCATTTTCCTCTATAATTTTTCAAGATTAACTTAAAAATTTGTCGCACCTTACGGATTGCCCAAATCGATCTGTCTTACACCTCTATAGAAGTTATAAATTTTATCATGACATTTCATCTCCCCCTTAATGATCTTGTATTATCTATTTTGAAAAGAATTATTCTACTTTTACAGGGAAAATCCTCCCGTACAAGTTACCGCATTTCTCTTTTGAAAATCAAACAAGACTTCACTTCGAATTTGGGGGATTTTCTAAAGAAAGTTTCAAGATCCATTAGGCATGTTTAATTGGAAAAGATTAGTATGCACGAATAGTGCATTTTGCATTTGTTAAGTGTTATATTCTTGTATGAGTGACTTGTGCATAATCTTTTTTAATAAATTAATCTTAACATTTAGATAAGATTAACAAAAATGAAAATATTATATTACAATATAAGTGGCGTTTATTAGGAGCAAACAAGAAAAGATTGTCAACCCGTCAAGTTGAATAAACTGTGGCTTTAAAATCATTGATTTAGGTCCATGTGATCCAACAATGTTTTGGTTTAAAATCGGACCTAATTATTTAAGAAACAGATCGATTTAGGTTTTGATAAATAGAAATCGCTTAAATCGAACTTTTCACTTAGTTTTTTTTTTTTTTAAATACTTATTTTATTCAACATATATAATATATTAAAAACATGTTTGAAAAGTGTTTATAAATAGATGATAAGTGTAGTTTATCCATTTATTTTGACTTTAAGATATAGCCTAAATTATTATATAATATGTTATTAGGTGAAAGTCGATGAATGAAAATGGAATTTAAATAAAGAATCGAAAATTGGTGAAAAAGGACAAGATGAAAGTTTGGGGACTAAAGTGTAAATACTCCAAAATTGTGTCGAACCTCACGGTGGAGCTTCGAGAATGATAGGGGTCAATTGAATTCAATTAGAAGTCAAAAAAGGGTTAAATATGATTAAATATTTCACAAATCAATTTTCAACCGCACAAGTATGTTTTAGACTTTTAGTTAGAGATTGAAATTCATTTTGAACTAGTAAACATTCGAATTGGAAAATAACTATTTTTAGTAAAGTTTTAGCTCTTTGAGTTATCTTTACAATCTAATTTGAATTGCCTCAATGGATATCGGACGAAAAGATTATGATTAAAATATTAAAAGATGTACAATGCTAAATTTTTCTCGGGAGGCAAGGCCACCGTCATGGCACAAATCTATCAATTTTACCACAAAGGTGGCGCCGCCTACTATCATATAGGGCATGGGTTTTTGGCTCATTTAAAGTCCATGAAAACTCCAAATTCGGGTAAAAAAAGAGAAGTATAAATACAAGAATGGAGGTACTTTTGAGGGTTCCACACATTGAGATACATAAAATACAAATTGAAAGTTGGAGAACAAAATCAAATGAGAAAAACAACAAGCTGAGTTTGGAATCAAGATTTGGAACAAGAAGAGGAACTTCGTGCAAGAATCATCGATTTCTTTACATCTCAATTCAAAACCCGATAATTTACTTCATTATTGTTAATTGTCTTTCTTCATCTATTATGATTAGCTAAACTCTTTATTAGGGCGAACAATATAATATATTGGAGACCCTTTATTTCTTTTATTCAATATTCTAGTTCTTTCATCATATATGTGTCGATTTTATTCACTTATTTAATGTTTTGAATTGCTTGATCAATAATTCAATAAATTTATGAATATTTTACGAATCGAAATGTGAGTTTTATATTTAAACCACATATTAAAATCTTGTAATTTAGTATAACGTGTAGAGATATCTATACTAATTATTGCGGTCATTAGATGAATTGTTAGAACTATATTTCGTTTAATTAAGATTGATTCATATAGAGATATGAGATTTAATTAGTTAAATAGGTTCAATGGAACTCGACATTGATAAATTGAATACAATAGAAGAATTCGATCGAACACAACATTATGTTATGAATCTTGAATTAACACTTAAAGACAATCAATATATGAAATTGTTATGCCCTAATATCTCATTCCATATTTGAATTCTAAATCTATCTTTGTGTGCATCCTGCTATTTTTAAGTAGTTAGATAAAAAAATAACAACAAATCGTAATTCTTTGTTCCTTTTCATCAAATAGTAGACTTTTCAAGTAATTAAATATAATTTAATGCATGAAAATGAGAAAATTTATAACCTTGAGCCCCGAGCCAAATGGAGCATGCATGAAATAGTTAGATCCTTCTTCTATTCTTTTTCCTGGCGCTTACTTCGACAGGGTACAAATATCTAAATTTGATATTTTTATATACTTTTTCAGACCTATTGCCGATACTAAGTAGCAGTCAAAAATTTATTTCTATTTTTCAAATATTAAATTAAACAATAAAGTATAGTTTTCGTGGAAACAATAATCCAGACTCAAATGTCCACTATATTACTTATTAAGATATCGTATACTAGTGATGTAAAAAACGCAATAATAGATAGAAATGTGCATTACATAAATGTGTAATACTTGTCGATCTCATTAAATGAGTGATATTGAATGCTTATAAACATGAGCCAAACATACGCTAATTCAAATTATACTTCAGCAAATTACTTGCTGGTCAAGTTCTATTAGCTATTTAGGAAAATATTTATTTATGATAATATTATTCTTATATATTTCAGAAATGCTGAATTTGGAAGCTTAAATATTATGTGAACTTTGTTTTATTTTATAGGATTTAGGCTTGTTTGGAGACAAATATATTATAGTATGGTAAATTTTATGTTTCAAATGTTTCAATTTAAGTGATATATTGGGATTTTATACTAACATATTTAATTTTCACTTGCTCGAAAGATATCATTTCTATGTCGCTAAAATTGTGGTTTGCAACTGGACAAAAATAAATAAATAAATGATTCGGTTCGATTCAGTTTGGTTTGGTTAAATTTCTTTTCCAAATCGTCTAAAATGATTTAATTTGAAAATAGTTAAAAAATAATCTAAACTGAATAGTGTACATCCCTAGTTTTAGCATCTATCTATGTGATAATGTGATCACTATCACATTGTTCAAATACACTTACTTTCATTGGATAATATAGTAGTGACTCTACTATCACGTAGATTGATGTTAAATAGAATTACTCATTGGAGAAATGTTTCTTTATTTATAGTTTTATTTTGGGGTCATGTCTTTTCAAGTGTACATTAAACTCATTTTTTTATGGATTATGCCATTTTACCATAAAGAACAGATGCAGTAACAAATGAATTGGTGACAGAATATGATTGGATGGAAAAATTGACTTTATTTTAAGCAGTCAAATAATAAAATGTCATGATGTGACGTTATATCAATTTTTTTTTGACAATGTAGCATGATTTTTTTTTTTTTAATGGGGCCCAAGATTTAGATAAATGAAGGGCTGACTATTTGACTTTTACTTTTGGATCTCTATCTAATACAGTGTTTAGTTGAACTACATCTCAAAAAGGGCAAACTTTAAAACAGTCAGTTTACCCTATTGACATAGTTATTGGTCCCAAATAAAGAATGAAAAAGGACAACTTTTCCATATTTTCTTGGTAGGTTAGATTGGAGTGGGGAAATGAAATCTTTGACAGCAGAAGAGGTTAAAATCAGCAGGATTGGAGATTTGACAGGAATTCTTATCCTCAAATCCTTCATATTTTCATAAAAACGTGGAGAGTGAATCATTACTACAAGAAAAACCCAATTGATAGACACTTTCAATTTATTTCTATCATACTTTAACCTTTTTGATCCTTTTGGATAGCCTTGGACATAAAGTTGAACATAGATTAGGATTATAATTAGATTCAAAGAGTGTCATTAGAGTTTTTGCTAGTTTAAAACCCTAGTTGACATCCAAACAAGTCACATCTAAAGATATTTTTAAATTCATAAATGTTATAATTCTAAGTACACTACCCAAAATCTTATCTAGTACAACAGAAAAATAAGTCATAGATAAAATCTATCGCGTACTCATTAGTTGCTAAATTCAGTTTGGATTCTATAGATACAATCGAAACAAGATTGTATTATACGACATATTCAACAAGTACAAACAGAAGTTCCTGTAGTTATATCAAATAGAACTTGCGCACTAGAAGATGTGCCGTAAAAGA